ATTTGGGGTCACAAGTTTTTGCCATGAATATTTTGTGGGTCAGAAGATAAAAAGTTTGGGAACCACTGCTCTAAAGCACTAACTCACATAGGTCCCCTAATTCTAAAACACTAACGCACTGAAAATTTTAGCAAAAGCTAATTCTAAAGCACTAATATAATCCAGTAGACACATAAACATCCTTCAGTCAACATGAGACAATATTTACTGTGTGCAGAATGTTGTCACTTGGTGCCCTACCTGTAGGCCACATTTGGCCCGCGGGCCTTTAGTTTGACATGTGACCTTGTAGATGTGACACACATATGAACAAAATGAGTGAGCTTTCACCRTCAGCTGTTAACATTAATGTTGATCACTAACATTTAAAGACTTCAGTTAGTGCTTCTAAATTTARCAAGTGCTAATCCACTAATGAATTTAAAAAATAGCAAAAGCCCTAAAGCACTAATCAAGAAATTAGTTGCCCTATTAGTGCTTTAGGGTAGCTGTGYCCACCACTGCCCAAACAGAACCAACAACCCACAATGTAGACTGTAGGAACCAGAGGAAACCACACATGAACAGAGAAAAACAAGCTAAACTATCTTGTAATAACTTCTTAGTAAACTAATAACAAATATTGTTTATAGAAGTACCTGTATATGTTTGTGGATAAAAAGGTTAGTTAAATGGTTAAAAAAAAACTATTTGTGCTGCATGAAGCGTTTGATTTATTGCATTGAAGTCTGGGGGAAAGCATGCTAAAACAATTWTAAACCCTATTTTTGTTTTACAGTAAAGAGCTGTAAGAATTATTACTAGAAAACACTACAGTCACCCATCAAATATATTGTTTTATCAGTTGAAATTATTGAAGTTCAAGGAGTTGGTTGATTATAATATTTTACAGGTTATGTACAAGGCTCACAAATGTATATTACCTTTAAACATTCAATTAAATTTTGTTAAGAGAGAAAGTTGTTATAATCTGAAGTGGGTTGAGATGTTTGTGAAAACTGGATTTCAAACTAGTTTGAGGGAGTGATGTACTTCAATACAAGGAATAAGACTATGGAACAATCTGGAGAGTGACGTCGAAAATACCAGATCAATATTTATATGAATGATAAAGGTCATCTTGTTAAAGAAATATGAAACAATGTAATGTGTATTCATACGAAAGAATATTTAATAAGGATTTGAGGTTGTTTTTTGTTTGTAGATCATTGTTTAAATTGTATTTTTTGAGAAAAAGGCGCAGAAATAAGATTTTTTCTTCTTTCCATCGCCTTTCATTTTATTTGTTTTTTATTGTACATAAATTTTGTTGTTTTAAGA